TGCTGTGTAGGAAGAGGCTGTGATGCCCAACTGTATGAGGGGATTTAAGACCAAACAGAGCTAAGCAGAGCTGCTGACTACAGAGTTCCCGAGAGCCCTGAGAAATAGGGGATTTCTAAGAGGTGGCAACAATTGTCATCGTTTTCTAAAGTTGTGGGGCTGCAGACCCCTTCTGACCTCACTCCCTACCACTCCACCCTGCTAGGACTACCTAGTCTACAAAACTCACTCTGGGCAAATACGAACGCTTGTAGCAACTTGTGACTCATTCAATATTTACTTTCTGCTATGCCGGAACCAAGCCCTGTTAGAATGTCACCAGGCTTGCCATCTTAGAGAGTCACCAGGATGGGAGCTATTATTATTTCTCAGGGCAGTTCCCATGTTCTACCCGAACCCAAGAGCATGGCCTGGAGACGTGCTGAATGGCCTGTTTGAACACAGTGCTCCCATGTGACTTGAAATGTCCCCTCTGGCTCCGCACTCTCCTCCACGGCAGCCTGTTTCTGCCTCACCCATCGTATCCCTGGCAAGAAGACAAAAGTCAAAGGATCAACCAGGGAAAGTAGCACAGTCAAGGGTTCTTAGGGAACTTTATAAAGGCAAAGTGACAGACTCCAGGGTAAAGAGAAAGCAAAATTAAAAGACTTTAAATTTGAGCAACAGGCAAGATACTTGTCAGAAAAAAAAATCTATCCCATGCAAATAAAATCTGCTTTATCGATCTGAGGTCAGTCAACAATTAGCTGTTGTTTGGGGGTTTGCCATTGCAGTTTCCCAGTTCATGGAATGGGCTGAAGAGGAAAACCTGTTGTGTGTATTCTGTGGGAGAGCACTGCTGACATCGGGCTTTGCCGGGGACCAAACTCTTTGGAATAGGGTCATCAGAGTGGTAGGCCAGCTTTAGAGACATAAAAGCATAGTAGATGGGTTGGCATGGTGGTGCACACCTTTAATCCCAGCACTGGGGAGACAGAGGCAGGTGGATTCTTGTGAGTTCCAGACGAGGGTGGCATAGTGAGTCCCTATTTTGTTGTTCTATTTCTTTTCTTTTCTTTTCTTTTCTTTTCTTTTCTTTTCTTTTCTTTTCTTTTCTTTTCTTTTCTTTCCTTCTTTCCTTCCTTCCTTCCTTCCTTTCTATCTTTCTTTCTTTTTTTAAACAAAAACAAGGTCAATGAGGCCTAGAGATGGCTCAGTCAGTAAAATGTTTGCCATATGCAAATGTAGGAACCTGAGTTTGGATCTCCAGCACCTACAGAAAATAGCAGGGCATGGGGGCTGGAGAAACAGCTCAGTGGTTACGCTGTTCTTCCAGAGGATGCAGGTTCAATTCCCAGTACCTACATAGCAGCTCACAACTGCCTATAACTTCTGTTCCAGGGGATCTGATAGCCTCACACAGACATTCATGCAAGCAAAACAAAAATACACATAAAATACAATTTTTTTAAAAAAAAAAAAAAGGCAGGACATGGCAGTGGCAGCATGACCCACAATCCCAGCACTGGGGAGACAGAGACAGGAGGACCCCTCGGGCTCACTGGCCAGTATCTACTTTTGGCCCGATAGATGCACTCCTGCATATACAGCAAAATCTCATGTCCTGGTGTAAGATGCATCAGAGCAAGAATGGACTCAGAGAGTGAGCTGGTGACCATGCCTACCACAGGTGTTAACTGTGACAAACGGCTACCCAAGTGCCAGCAAAGAAGGCAGAGGGAGTGCAGTGAGTGAGGCCACCTTTAGCAGCGGCACCCAAGCTCTAGGTGGGCAACAAAGGACACAAAAGATGCATTTGTATTTCAGACTGCTATTAAGAATCATTCAAGGGGTGGTGGCGCATGCCTTTAATTCCAGCACTCAGGAGGCAGAGGCAGGCGGATCTCTGTGAGTCCGAGGCCAACCTGGTCTACGAGAGCTAGTTCCAGGACAGGAACCAAAAAAAGTTACAGAGAAACCCTGTCTCAAAAAAGAAAGAAAGAAAGAAGGAAAGAAAGAAAGAAAGAAAGAAAGAAAGAAAGAAAGAAAGAAAGAAAGAAAAGAATCATTCAAGGAAAAGCTTGTATTCTGCAAGTAGGAAATGAAAACACTGTGACTTTGGGACCACTGAAATAGAATAAAGGGGGAAGAAGACTGTGCTGCTGGCCTAGCTCAAGTCCGCATAGACAGGAATCCCTCCACTGCAGCCTACGAATATGGCTACTACGGACATGGCTACTATGAACATGGCTACTACACAGATGGCTACTATGGACATGGCTACTATGGACATGGCTACTATGAACATGGCCACTACGAACATGGCTACTACAGACATGGCCACTACTGACATGGTTACTATGGACATGGCTACTATGGATATGGCTACTATGAACACATGGCTACTACGGACATGGCTACAACGAACATGGCCACTACGGACATGGCTATTATGGACATGACTACTATGAACATGGTGGCTACTATGCAGACACCATGGACCTCCCTGTAATGCTGGTAAGACTGGAAGAGAAAAAGAGCTTTGGGTCTAGGATCAAACCAACCACTCTTGGTACCCCAGGAGAACCCTTCTGTTGTGACTTTTACCAGCTATTTGGGGGTGGGGGAGGAAAAGGGGAAGGGATAGGGATAGGGAGAACCAGTAGCAGCTGATCCAACCAGCCATCTGCTGGCTGCAAATCCCAGCATCCCCATAACTATCTATGGAGCCAAGAGCTTTTGCACAAGACTGTAAAGAGACCAATGCATAAGAGGAACCAACTGAAAGCCTTGGCCATCAACAGGAGAGCAGTGCCGAGTGACCCTTGGATTACACTCCCCAGCTGAGTGACCTAAGGAAGTAACCGCTCGAAAGTAAGACAAAAAGCACAGCCATGACCTCGCCGGTACAAAGAAATAGCTGAGCACTAAGGAGGAAGACTAAATCCAAGGCTTGGACGATGGAGCGTTTCCCATTATTCTTTAGGAAACAACCAGTTTTCCCCCAACAATTGGAAATTCATGAATGCTGGCACCGGTCCCCACACAGCATCCTCTCCAGTTTCAGCATCCTGCATATCCGCTTTTCCTGCCTAGCCTCCCCTCATCCTGTTTTTGGCAATACAAATTGAAAGAAGAAATATTAGTATCACATGAGGAAGAACTCCAAAAAGAGAAAACTGACGTCTGTAATAAACTCTCTACTTCTTTTGTTCACTTTTACATGTCGTGCGAAACCTCCGAGTGTGGAGAACGAGAGGAATGCCAGCCTCTGGACATGACGCAGCCACTGCCTTCTTGAGCGCAGAGCAGCTATGATTGTCTGCACAAGGATGGACCTAATAGCATCTGTCGTAGCTCCTGGAGGATACACGGTCTTTTGATAGGTGCTAGTGGGGAAGGGGTCACAAGCCCTGGCCCTTCCCTAAGAACATACAGGTGGTTAATGGACACTGTGAGACAGTTTCTCCACTGGCGAAGCTGCTTGTAAGTTGCCCACGCTCCTGCCCACGCTCCTGCCCACGCTCCTATAAGCAACCCTATTAACTCCCTGGTTCACCAAGCTAGACTTGAGCAGAACTGTTTCTTTGGTCTGTCATGGTACCCTGTCCGGGTGGAGAGAGAGCTGCCTGTTCGTCTCCCCAGCAACAGTTCACACAACATTTAAGACAGTTTATGCTTTTGTTTCTTTGTAGGATGAGGGAAGGCTAACATTTTTTCTTTTCTTATAGAGTTCTTTGAAAATATATAGTAAAGAATTTCTCAAAAATGATATTTTTAACCTTCAAGAATAAAAAGAAGTCTCAGGTCCTAAGGTCACCAGACTTCAGGGAGCTGAAGGCTGATTCTGCCACCCGCTTGCTCTGGAACCTCAAGTAAGTTACCCACCAGCTTTGTCACTGGTAATGGTGACTGCATCTCATGAGTAAAGATTAAATGAGCTAGCACAGACGAGTGTTTGGCCCGAGGTAACCAGGAAAGCATCTGGTGAGCCAGATAGCCATGAATGTAGGAACCAAGTGGACAGGGACTTGGTTAACCACATCAGAACCACTCGGGGATCGCAGTCGAAAGAGAGAGATTTTGGGCCCCACCCAGGAGATCCTGATGGCTCACGGGAGTCCATCTTTGTCTATACACTCTCACACTCGGAGGGACAGCTGAGCTTGGGAGATTCTGGCACAGAAGCTAACACCCCAAGTTTGGAATTAAAAGATAGGGCAGTGGTTGTGTCTTAGCCATGACCTAATGTAGGACTTTCCTAAGATTTTGTTTTCTCATTTATAAAATGGAAGATTTTTTTAAAAACTTACTTTATGTTGTGTGAGTGTTTTGCCTACACAAGTGTCTGTGTACCATGTATGTGCCTGGTACCCGAAGAGGCCAGAAGCAGGTGGCAGACCCTCTATAACTGCCATGTGGGTTTAGGAAACCAAACTCAGGTCCTCTGAAAGAGTGGCCAGTGCTCTTAATGGCTACCCCATCTCTCCAGCCCCAAACAGAAGATTTAACATCAATTCATTCATTCAGTTCTCATGGGGGTCAAATGGTTGACGTCCTTTCTATGGGAAAGCTGGCTTGCTGGGATGAATAGAGCACAGACTTCAGCACGACAGGGATTTGGGTGCCTGCAGAAGACAAGCCAACTTGCGGGGACTGTACCCACCCCATCTTCTTCCTACTGCAACCCAGGATTTTTCTGCGCTACTATTATGCCAGGATGATAGGGCTCCAGTCCCAGGTCAGGGCTGAGTAGGCCAAGTGCTTGCTGCAGGAGCCTGAGGACCCTAGTTCAACCGCCACAATCCATGGTGAAGGAGCGCGCTGATGCTGGAAAGTTGTCCCCTGACATCTACCCATGCTCTGTGACATGTGTGCCTGCATTCACATAGACATCACACATACATAATAATAAATAACAATTTAAAATTATCCGTCTTCCCAGACTCCCTTACAGTTGGACCGGCCATATGACATAGTTTATACAGGAGTCAGCTTAGGGGTGCAGGGACAGCTTTTGCTTTCCACGCTCTGTTTCTCTCCTTATCTTGTCTTCCCATCTTCTTACAGCCTGGAAGGCAGGTGAGAGGTCCGGCAATAAGGCAGCTGTCATCTGGCCATGAGTACAAACATGGGTGGGAACAGGCTGAGTGTGGCAGGGCCCCCAAGACGACAGGACAACAGGCTCTCTCTGCCATCTCTGAGCAGCTGTGAACTCTGGGGTTCTGTCCCTCTGGAGAGCGGATGTAGACAAATGCTTAAGCAGAGGTGAGTTTGTGTTAGTTATCTGTACCGTAGGGATTCACAGGAAGAACTAGAAAAAGACAAATCCTAGAGAATGTCCCCACCAGTGGGCATTCATGCATCTCCTCCTTTTCTCCACCTGTGAATCACTTTGCATCTGTACAGCCAGGATCCTAAATCCAATATCCTATGTTTTCTTAACTTTAGAAAAAAAAATTGTTTTGTTGTCTGCTTGTAAATCTGAGAGCCACATGCATGCAATCCCTACAGAGGCCAGAAGAGGGCATCAGATCCCCTGAACTGGAGTTAGAGATGGTTTGATCCCACAGGCTGACGCTGGAAATTGAAATCATCTCTCTAGTTTCTATTTTCTTGATCGTAAGGTGGAAGAATTAGGATGTAAAGAACTTCCTTTGGGGGCCAGGCATGGTTGTTCACACCTTTAATACTAGCGCTTGGGAAGCAGAGGTAGGCAGATCTCTGTGTGTTCAAGGTGAACCTGGTCTACATAGTGAGTTCCAGAACAACCAGAGAGTCCCTGTCTCAGAAAAAAAACAAAAATCGGCCTCGGGAATAAAGGCCTGGGAGACAGAACAAGTTCATTACTACTACACCATAACCAAACAGATGTTAAAATCTCCATGTGCTCTCGCAGGGAGGAATGTGGGATTGATTCTCAGTGCCCTTTTCCTGGTGGCACATACTTTTGGGAGTAAGAAACTTGGGGGTGGGGTTCAGTGTTGGGGGCCATTCTTATCTGCCCTCAGCATAGCTTTAAAGGATTAGTGACTCCCGGCCTCCAGGAAGGCCCAGGACCCATCTAGATCAGCTTCCCTCCCTGACTACTGCATCCTACAGGCCCTGCTGTCTTCCTTGCCCAGCCAGCTTAAAGCCATTGCTTCTGCCATTGCCCCAGTGTTGGGTCCAGTTGCATCAGAACCCTATACCGAAAGGCCTTGAAAGCCTCAAAATTAGCAAATGCAGAGGAACTTTTCTACAAAAGCAAATGTGTTCTCCCATATCCTAAAACGCTTGCGTGGCAAATAAAATAATAAAATAAACTGTTGGCCTGGGGAGACTGTCCAGCAGGTAAAGCTGCTTTTGCAAACGCAAGGACCAGATCTTGATCTCTAAAAACTATGCAGAAGTGGAAGGCGTGGTGGTATGTGTGTGATCCCAGTGATGGAGAGGCAGATGGGGGAGGAGAGGGTTCTGGGGGGTGCTGGCCAGTCAGTTCTTGCCAAATGGTGAACTCTAGACCAGTGAGAGACCCTGTCTCAAATGAGGTGGATGGCGCTCCTGAGGTTGTCCTCAGGTACACACACACACACACACACACACACACACACACACACACACATATAAAAATAAAAAAGTAAAAACCTCCTTTTACTACAAAGTGAAATCACGCCAATGAGTGGTTCCAATTGCGCCTCTGGCATAGACACAGCTCTCCCCCTTAAGGCTCCCTACGGTCCGGAGCAGGAGCCCTGTGCCACCTCCGAGTGCTCTCCTCCAGCAGTGTGCCGTGCCTTCTCAGCCCTTCCAGTCCTCGTGCTCCTCCCTCATGGCCTTCACAAGCCAGTCCCGTTCTGACCCCTGCTCGGAGTCGCTGGCGTCACTCCCCTCCATGGCCAGCAGCTTCGAGTAGTTGATCCTCTGTTCTCGGGGCAGCCTGGACTGGGTGGACAGGAACAAGGCCAGCCAAAGCAACAGGACCACACAGCAGGCTTGGTAGAGCACAGCTATGCCGAAGCGCATGACAACGAAGCCCCCCGCAAAGCTGCCTAGGCTGCTACCACTCTCATAGAAGTAACCTCGGAACACGGTGCCTAGAGACCTCTCCACGCCAGAGGTGGACAGGTCCTCTATGGAGACCCCCACGGCCCACCACAGAGCCCCACTGCTGATGGCACTCAGGATCTGAACAGGCAGGACAGACCACCAGCTCCAGATGAAGGAGTAATAGAGTAGCTGCAGGGCCAGGCAGCCCAGCCCCAGGCCCAGCACACCCACCCGCGACAGTTTCCTAAGCAACCAAGTTCTGAACGGATGAAACAGAATTTCTCCTAGTAAACTGAGAGCCACCGAGAAACCCATCACCAGCTCGCTGCTGCCGTGGTCCTTCATGTGCCAGAACAGGAAGTTCTGCACCGTACTGGCAGTGGCTCCTATCCAAAGGACAGTGAAAGCTAGGAGGATGAGGCGGGCGTCACCCTGTATGAGGGACAGTGCTTTGATGGTTTTGTAGCTGGGCCCCCGTTTCTGGTCGATGGGGACAGGAAAGGCTGTGCTCAGCGCTAAGGCCAGAGTACTGAGCAGCGCGTAGCTGTAGAAATGAATCACACCCCGAGGACCATTGGTCACCAGGAAGCATTCCAGATGCCCCACCAAGGCTGCGATGCCACACACACCTGCTGACATACCCAATAATCTCCAGAGCCACAGGTCTCTGTTCCGGTCAGTGGCGTCAACAAAATCCAGGTATTCATAAAGACTGTCATCTGCTACCTGTGCCAGGGGGGCTGTCAGCAGTTCCCAAAATACCACAAACCCCAAGGAGAGGATGAGGGTCCACTGCGGCCCTTTTGAGGAGTGGCTGAGGGCCTGGGCATCCCGCTGGGCCTTGGACAAGTTGCCTGGACTTCCAAGGGTTGTACTTCCAGGAAGTGGACCCAGGGTAGCATTGCCCACCTCAAAAGTCCCTTCCTGGGAATTAACTCTCAACCTGGAAGTGACAGGATGGCGAGCTTGGGTAGTGATCCTGGCTCCTGCAACAGAGTCAACTGAATAGGCCTGCAGGCCGCCAAGTATTCCTTCTTGATCTTTACCAAATCCGTTTGGAAAGCCAGACGTGTCCAGGGCTCTGGTGTGTCTGCTGCCTGGGAGGCTGGGTGCTCCTGCCCAGTGGTTTAGGACTGATCCCTGGGTGGAGGTCATGGTCATAGTTCGTGAGACTCCCAGTGGTAGGACAGTGGAGATCACTCTGTTGCTTCCATTACAAAAGTAATTGCCCGGATTTCTGTCCGCCGGTGGGATGAGGACCATCAGGAGGCTGGCTCCTGCGGAGCCCAGCAACGAGCCAGTCAGAAACATTCTCCTTTTGTGGTAGCGTTTAGCCAGGAAGGCACAGAAGGGAGTCCAGCAGGCGGCGACCAGGTGCTTGGTTCCCATGAGGACGCCCACCCAGAGTGCGGTCACACCCAGTTGCCTCAGGTAGAGGGTCAGGAACGGGGTCACACAGGCATCCCTGACCCCGCACACCAGATGGAAGAGCCTGGCCACCCCCAGTGCCCTGGGGACGTCCCACTGCGGGTTGGGGCTCATGGCTGCGTGAGTCCGTCAGACCCAGAAGGGCACAGGACCGAGCTAGACGCGGGGCGCGCGGGACTCCATGTCCCGGGGAGGGAGGATCACGGGCTCAGGGTTCCGAGCAAATCGGACTGCGCCTCCAGCCCCCGGCGTGGCCTCCGGTCACCTGGCCAACGGCTGCTTTACTCCCCCACGTCCGGCCACCCTCCCGGAAGTGGCCCCGCCCCAGGAGTGAGGCATGACGGGGGCGGAGCCCGCGCACCTGTTGTCAGCCCCTACAGCACCTGCGCCCCACCTGCGCCACCCGTGAGTAGCAAGCATCGCGTGATGCTCAGTGCGTTTGGAGCTTGACCGTGGGCGCTACCCGGCTCCTGACCTGCCTCAGGCATGAGAAACTGTCAGGGTCAGGATAGGGACGAGACTGGGAGAAGAAAAGGGTGAATGACATCCGCACATCTCTCTTCCTCAAGTCTGTTCAGAGGAACACTGGTCAGTGGCCATCCGGAGTTGGCCCTGTTTATCGTAAGTGACATCGCCATCACCAAGACTCACACCTCCCCTCCCCTGCTTTGCTCTTATCAAGGGCACTTTTGTCTATAAATCCTTCTGTTCACCTTGTGGCTCCCGGGGAGGCAGCTGCTTTGGCTCCCAGACCAAAGAACAATTGCACCACATGTAAACAGCCCCCAGAAGAGGTGTGATCTTGGGTCATACTAAATATATATCCCTCCCCCCGAGGCATTTCCTGTCTCACATGAACAAAGAAAGATTCCAGTGGTTCAAATCATTTGGGATTGTATCATAGGCTTTCCTCCAAAACGGCCAATCATCTAGCTACTGATTTAGTAATTTTTCTATTCTCACACCCAGGGCCTCCATGCAAGCTAGTTGAGCACTCAACCACTGAGCTACATCCCAGCCCTGACCTGGTCAGCCCTTCATTCAAGGCTTGCTCACTGTACCTAGTTTGACTGTGGATTGGAGGGTGTGGGTGTTTGCCGACCAGTATGTGTGTGTGTGTAGTTGAATTTGACTCAATAATGGCTTTCACTGTAAACTGGTAGACAGCCAAGATCCCCAGCGCGTTCACTTAACCTTCCTGACTGACAGGCTTGTAATGGTTACTTAAAAACTCGGGATTGCTAGCTGGGTATGGTGACATATACATGTGAGTCAACACTTGAGGGCTGGAGGCAGGAGGATGGTTCACCCTCAGCCTCAGCTGTGTGAGACCTTGTTTATAAAACTAAATAAAAACAAAACAAAAACCCAAATGGTGTGTCTCAAAACAACAACCAACCCACCCAAAACAGACCAGGCTGGCCTCAAACTCACAGAGATCCTTCTGCCTCTGCCTCTGGAGTGCTAGGATTAAAGGCGTGCGCCAACACATCTGGCAAGGGCTTTGAGAGTTTAAAGCTGTCTCCCTTTGCTCTCTCGGCTTCCTGCTTGTGTCTGAAGAGTGAGCTCTTGGCTTCCGGCTGCCATGCTCGTTGCTTGTTGCCACTCCCTCTTGCCATGATGGACTCATATTCCTCTGGAACCATGAGCCAAAATAAACTATTTCTCTGGTTACTTTTTGGCCATGATGTTTTCCATAGCAACGGAAGAGGAAGCAGTATAGATTCCCGATTTCAAAGGGATCTGCCACCTTCTCTCTCACTGTCCTCTGGGACTCTATCGAGTTGACAGGAAGGGACTCAGATCTAAGCCCCTTGTACTTGCTCTGTTTCTCTCCCACCCTGCAGCTGGTGATGGGGCCGAGGACACTACAGCTTTGTTTGTCCCTGATCTTTTGTACCTGGATATGTGTAGTGACATTTCATTGTATTTTAATAACTAAAGCTTTCCTGAAGGTCGGTGCAAAGCAGCCACACTTGTCAGCCATACAGGCAAGGCAGGGGTGGCACACACTTTTAATTCCAGCAGCCACACTAGTTAGCATAGAGGCCAGGCGTGGTGGTGCATGCCTTTAATCCCAGCACTAGAGAGGACTCTAAGGCGGGAGGAGGCAGGAACTCACTCTCTTTCAGTCTGAAGATTTCAAGGAGGTAAGAGCTCTCTAGTGGCTTGGCTGCTTTTGTTTTTCTTCAGGTTGAACCCCAATATCTGTCTCTGGGCTTTTATTATTCATGTTACTGATGTGCATTTTTTTTTTTTTTACTTAAAACGTCAACATTTTTTTTATTCTTTAATTCTGGTTTCCCTGAAGCTGCTTTGCATTCCTGCCTCTACTTGGGAGAGTCCTGAAGAAAAATTAGGTGATGAAAGAGTAGGGGGTCAGACCACAGCAGTGGATATGACACAGAACTGTGGCCTGGCCTAAGAGAATCCATCCGGTTAGATTAAGTTCTGCCTTCTGACTTCTTTTGCAGTGCAAATAGGGCCAAGGGGATGGCAAAGGTGATTACTGCCAAGCCTGACGATCTGAGTTCTGTTCCAGGACCATACCATGGAAGGAAAGAACAAATTTCTACAAATTGTCTTTGATATATTTATACATACATACATACTGTGGCACACACATGTGTGCGTGCACAACTCCCCCCCCCCCGCACACACACACGCAGAAACACTTTAGAGTGCTTTTATTGATTCTATCATTCTCTTCTCTACTGAGACAGACCTGCCTCAGTAGGGGTGAGCCATGACCTGAGAGCTGGAAAGGATGGTACAGACTCAGCAGGAAGCAGGACAGCCTTCCTTCCTTCCTTCCTTCCTTCCTTCCTTCCTTCCTTCCTTCCTTCCTTCCTTCCTGTTTCTTCCTCAGTCACAGGATTCGGTACAAAAATTGTGCCCATCAGCTCCGAAAGCCCAAGGCCTCCGATGTACTAAGTAAGTGCTCTACCACTGAACCACCCAGCTATACCTCCATCCCTTTGGCATAGGTTTTCAGGACTCCCTAGTGAGCCAAAATTGGCGGTGAAGATAGCTTGTGAAGTGGGAAATGAACATCAACACAAAAATGATATTTTGGAAGAAGCCGGGTTGTGTGAGCATGTGTTCATTTCATCCCAGCCTTGTCTGGCAATCCATCAGCCTTGGGAAGGGTCCTTCTTCATCACAATCCTGGATCTCTCACCTCCCAGGCTTTCCTGGCTCCTGGTCCAAGCAGAGCAGCTCAGTGAGCTGTCGGTCTGAGTGTTATGGGTGGGTAGGTAGTGTTTCTTTCGTCCTGGGTCTGCTGCCTCTGATCCAGACCTTCTATTATCCTTCAGGCTCACTGGATGACGCCAGAGAATGTGTTGATGGGCATCAGAAGAGGACTGGATTTGGCTGTATTCTTTTCTCTCTCCTGCCCATGTGGATGGAACCCTGCCACCTTGGATTTCTGAGACCGTGAACATGGCTCTGGGCAGGGGCCAGCCTCAAATCTGCAGTGGGGAGAGACCAGTTTGGAAGACTACCCTCAGGGATGAGACACACCCAGCACATTGAAAAGGCAGAGCAATTGTTGTCAGGTACAGAGGAAGGGTCACAAAGAGGACAGAGGACAAATCAGAGAAGGAGGTCATTGTACACCAATATTCTCTGATGGGAAGATGCTTGGATCTAGGTCACTGTGTCTTTTTGTGTCTACCTTCCTGGAGAAAACCTGCAAAAGTCACAAAGTGGGGGTACAGATGCTCCAAAAGGGGAGCCTTTGATGAAGGGTCAGTGCCCGCAGAGGGACTAGGACAGGAAGGCTTGCAGGCTGTGCACTCCTAGGAATCCTGGGAACATTTAGCACTAGCCTCAAGTCAAAGGGCATGGTCTAAAACATGCCTGGCTACAGGTACTCTGATAAGTACACTGGGCCAAAGACAGGCGACTGTGGGCGTTTCGATTCTCCCTGTGGGAACTGGAGTCCTGGGGTAAAAGCCCCCTCACCTGACCACATCCCTGAAAGTGCGCCGGCTGTCCTTGTCCAGCCACAGCGTCAGCAGCCTCTGGTCTTGGCTCTGGACTTGGATACTGGATGTCCGAAAGGTGTTTGTCGCTGTCTACATCAGAGAAACAGTTTATGTAAATGTCACCTTTGCTCAACAGCCGGGCCTGCCAACACCGTGGGATCTGGTGAGTTTCCTCCCTTCATCTCAAGGGGTCCCTGCTCTTTTCCTGCTGGTGACTGAGCAGCGACTACATAAACTGCCCCCACGTTCCCTTGCATGGGATGCTGCTCCTGTTCTGCAGTTCTTTCCATGACCTGTTAGGCTCCATTATGAATACAAAATAGAATGCTGTGGGCGGTACCTGGCGGGTTATCAAGCTAGAGTTTCTGCATGTATCTTGAGCATCTCCTAGGGCAACCATATTGCTAGGTGGCCCTGGTTCTCAGCATTAAATTATATGCATAATTCTTTACCTGGGGCAACATAACCAGGGTGTCTAGGAAATTGTCAAATAAAACTCTAAGCCAGTGGGAAGCAGGCCCTAGGCATCCTGACTCTAGACAAAGGGGACTTCTAGAGAGGCCCTTCCCATGGAACAGAGAACTCTGGACCTTGGGGTGCAAGGAGGGCCTTGCAGAGTCCCCCCTACATAGACAGGAGCTTTTGGCAGTACACACAGACAGCCCTAGCTGTCAGAAAACCTGAGAATCTGTTTCTTGCAAGTGTTTTCAACTCTGGATGCTTATAAGAATCACACAAGGGGCAGAAAGGTGTAAAAGCCAGGTGTCGGGGAGAACTGGGGCAAAACAGTGTCCTCTGGATATGACAGGACCGTTGTGCTCACAGCAGCTTGGCTGCCTGCAGAAGACCTGCACAAGAACAAGTCAGTCCGTGTGCCAGCTCGGAAGCAGAAGGGGTCCAAGTTAATCCGTGTGCCAGCTCAGAAGCGGAAGGGGTCCGGGTCAGTCAGTGTGTGAGCATGGAAGTGGAAGGCAGAAGGGGTCCGGGTCAGTTTGTGTGCCAGCACAGAAGCGGAAAAGGCCCGGGTCAGTCCGTGTGCCAGCACAGAAGCGGAAGGGGTCCAGGAGTCCTGTGCTCCTTAGTTTTTTTTTCAACTCGACACAAACTAGAGTCCTGGGACATGTGCTAAACAATGTTCATAGCAGCATTGTTTGTCATAGTCAGAACCTGGAAACAACCTAAATGCCCCTCGACCAAAGAATGGATAAGGGAAATGTGGCACATTTACATAATGGAGTACTGCACAGCAGAAAAAAATGGCATCTTGAAATTTGCAGGCAAATGGATGGAGATAGAAGACATCATTTTTGAGTGAGGCAACCCAGACCCAGAAAGATAATTATCATATGTACTCACTCATAGGTAGTTTTTAAACATGAAGTAAAGAAAATCAGCCTACAATTCACAATCCCAGAGAACCTAGACAACAATGAGGACCCTAAGAGAGACATACATGGGTCTAATCTACATGGGAAGTAGAGAAAGACAAGATCTCCTGAGTAAATTGGGAGCATGGGGTCCTTGGGGGAGGGCTGAAAGGGGGAGGGGAGAGGCAGGGAAGAGAGCAGAATGAAACAAAAATCAATTAAAAAAAAAAAAAAACCCAAACAAACAAACAAACAAAAAACTAGAGTTCTGGGAAGAGGGGAATCAGTTAGAAAAGTGTTTTCATCAATTGGCCAATAGGCAACTCTACGGAGTATTTAAAAAAAAAGATTGATATGGGAGGGCCCAGTCCACTGTGGGCAGCTGGCCTTGGGTTGTATAAGAAAGCAGGCTGAGCAAGCCATGGGGAGCAAGCCAGTTAAACAGCATTCCTCCATGGTCTCGACTTCAGTTCCTCCCCTCAGGTTCTTACTTAAATTACTTCCTTGGCTTCCCACCATGATGGGTTCTAACCTATAAGATGAAATAAACCCTTTCTTCCCCAGGTTGTTTTTGGTCAGTGTTTTATCACAGCAATAGAAATGCAAAGAGTCCCCATCCCCCATGGAGAAGGAGCTATGGACAGGTGATGGTTTCTGGGGTGGTGGAGAGTCAGTCTTAATGAAGGGAGTGGCCGCTGGTAGGTCCACAAGTCTCCCACACCCAGGAGAATATGAACAGCACAGTAGGATTTCGTAAGTTATTGTTTCAAGAGGGCAGGCCTGGAAAAGTGGCACAGGTCTTTAATCCCAGCACTTGGGAGGCAGAGGCAGGCGGATCTCTGAGTTCCAAGCCAGTCAAGGCTAAACAGTGAAGGCTTAGAACAGCGTGTGGGACACAGCACGTGTTAGTGTTGGATCCTCATTACTATTGCTGTTGTTATTGTTGGTTGTAATTCCCCCAGAAGAACGTAAGCATAAACAGTCATCTTGGTGATAAAGGCGCTGTGTTAAGAGGAAGAAGGAAGGGGTTGGGGATTTAGCTCAGTGGTAGAATGCTAGGCCCTGGGTTCAGTCCTCAGCTCCAGGGAAAAAAAACCAAAACAAACAAAACAACAACAACAACAAAAAAAAAAAACAACAGAGGAAGAAGAAAACTCCTGAATATTTTTTTTCTCTGTTTGTCCCCTAACTCAAACCCCTTCTTCCTACTCCCTTTCCCCTTATGCGAATCTGAACAACTGATCCACGAGTGGAGAAGAAAGAAGCCTACAAACATCCACTAGATGGGAGGAGAGCAGACCGACCCCATGATGAAGCCTGACAAAGGGAAGAGATGCCTGGTTGCACAGTAGAATCTGAAGCAATTCGTGTCCCCTAGAGCTCTTATCTGTGATGGAGGGTTACTCTGTTCTGTGATGGAGAAGTGTATTGTGGGCAGGTGAGCAGGCCATGGAGCCCACCGCGCTGTAACTAGACAGTTCACCAGATGGTTGTCTGCACTGGGGAGCCACTGATCACCTTCCAGAAATACCTAGAGGAGATACAGAGGGATGAGATCCTGCATAAAGAGGGGCCTAGGGGCAGCCAGGATTAATCAATTTACAGACTGTGCTCAAACTGACTGTACCTGGTAAGGGATAGGGGTCACCTAAGTAAAGAGACTGAGGTCCGATGAACTGGGTGTGACCTGCTGAGTATATATAGCATCCTGACTCAGTGTTCTTGCACCTGGTACCTACGGGGTTCTTCAGGTGTCTGGAAGGACCCAGACTCACAGGTGACCAGAGGCCATCCATCTACTAGCCTCCTCCCAAACATCTGTCTGTTGCATTTGCCTCTGGGGTCTACATGCCAAGGCACACCGCATCTCCTGGGCTGTGGACCATGAAGACAACATACATCTATAATGCAACTCTGGAGGCCAGTGGCAAGGGCCAGTTGCAAGTTTTGCAAAGGATGCCACTCAGCAAGATGAAGGAACAGGCAAAACGCTCCTCTTCCCTGCTGGCATTGGTTTGTTCCACAACTGAAGCATCCCTTTTTTGTCTTTGCCTTGTTGCTGTCAGTCCTACCTATCAAGCATGCAGCCAGTCAAAGGTAAGCCCACTGAACCTGCCATGGGGCTCTTGCTGGTCCCAGCTGGGGGCACCTTCCCTCCAGCTCACCAAGAGCTTCCCCTCTGTGGCTTGGTGTTTACCATCTGATGAAACCTGTCGGGGTTCCAGGAGAGGAAACACAGCTACTGGAATTTCACATAGCAAGTCAGCAAGAGATAAAAAAGGGAACTTGCTGGGTTGGTTAGCTTAGATATCCAAAAGCCCCTAGCCAGGTTATTTAATGAGGTCAAATGAGCAGAGATTAGTAGAAGGAACTGACTCCAAAAGAGAAGTTGCAGTTCAGGGTAACCAGGCCCACCTTACAGCTTCAAGCTTAAAGACCCTGTCTAGTGCTAAGGCAGATTCGAGCCCTCAGAGCAATTTAGAGCCAACAGAGTTCTCCTGCTGTGGACAGCTCACCTAGGAGAAGTGAGCTTCAGGTGCAGGGGTGAGATGTTGGAAGCCCTTGGGTGACTAGTGAGCATCTTCGAGGTCTGCTATGTGCCAGATACCCTGAGTGCTGGAAGCCCCAAGATAAGGACTCGCTTCCAGAGCCCCCACCCCTCTGCCATGCCATCTACAGGGCTGCAGTGTTCTCATAACTGTCCCCAGAGTCTGGGAGAGTGCAAGGGGGGGGTACCCAGCTCACCAGGGAGTGGGGGTAGGGAAGAAGAGCATCAGGACGGGCTTCCCAGGTAGACAGCCCCGCACCCCTCACAGGGTGTATTGCAATGAGAATGTGGGAACAAGGATAACACAGCAAAGCCCAAAGGTGCAACTTGTAGAACTCCCAGGCAGGGAATTGAAATAGAAAGGTTAAAAAAAAAAATAAAGAAAAAATTTTGGAAAATATTCGAAAACCATGAGATAAACAAAAGAATGAAGTTCTCATATAAAACAAGGCTACCATGTATCATTATGAGTGGGAGCATGAACAGGATATAAAGAAAGATTATCTATAAATATGAGAAAAATCAGCTACACTAATATGGAGAGACAGAAATCCAGGTTAAAACCATGCAGATTTTGATGACCAGATTCACAAAGATGAAACAAGTCAACTAGTGTACTGACCGCCTTCTAAAATTATGACCACACACGGGGGTGTGACACAGTGGGGGTGGGGTCTGGAGACCAGTATGGTAAAATGTCCCTATGGACGGACGCCAGCTCACTAGGGAAGGTTTCAAAGGCAAAATCATGAGTGTTAGCATCTGTTTAACCCTACGTGTGTTCCCACTGGTATGCTTATAATAGTGAAAGAAGATCTTTTAATCTTACAAAAAACATTTCAAAAATCATATATGTATATGCAACCATCATTAAGAAATATTTAATGACATAATAAACAAGATCCCATCAGGACTGATGCACAAACCTTTCATATATATGAAATATATATGTTTTTTTATATATTTATTTTATTTTTAAAACAGGGCCTTACTATGTAAACTGGAAGTTGACCTGGAACTCACTCTGTAGACCAGGCTGGCCTTGAACTCACAAAGACCGTGCCTCTGCCTACCGAGTGCTGCTTAAGGCATGCACCACCATTCCCAGCTGACTTCCACGTATTTCTGAGCAAAAATGTTACTATAGACCACTATCCACTGTATCTATCAATTATATAAAATATAATTAATGAAAAAACACTCAAAGTATTTATACTAAAAAAAAAATTCCCCAGCTATCCTAACCATGCACTGACATTTTGACCCAAAATAAACACTGAAACATTTCATCTGGAGATGAAAACATGACTTTGAAATAAAGAAATGGAAGGACTGAGAAGCCCATTGGCTTTGCAACACGGAGGTGACTTTGCTGCAGTCGGGGAAGCTCAAGGCAATAGCTGTGAGCAAAGCAGTCATGGTTCAGACCTCAAACTCTTACAAATATCTTTTTAAAAGCTTGACTGAGATAGGAGAAAGGAGCTGGTAGCCAGGGAGAAAACATGGCCAAGGTAGAGTTTCTTGTCTGTTTCTAGGATGGAGAGGAGGCCTGAGTCTGTCTGTAGAGGGAGGAGCAGGGAAGAGGGAGCGGTCACAGGCAGAAAAAGAGAAAAGAGACTCCAAAGACCACCAGGAAAGAGACTGACTGACATCAAGGCTCCAGATGAGGAGGAGTTTGTTGGGGTCTGGTCAGTGTGGGGGCAGGATTTATTTCAGAAGCTATCTGCACACAGCCTGTCTGGTGGGTGGTGCCCAGGAGTCCATGTTTGTGAGAGCACCACTCAGGTGGGACCGTGAGGCTCTGGGGTCAACTTAAGTGTAAGGGAATTGAGAGAAGCTGTCAGAGGGAGAGCAAGGGGGAGCCTCATACCTTATCACTAAATATCAGTTCATTCAAGGCAAAGCCGAGGGGCGTGTGTGTGTGTGTGTGTGTGTGTGTGTGTGTGTGCGCGTGTGCATATGTGTGTGTGTGTGTGTGTGTGTGCGTTCAGAGGAACAATGAGGGTGAGAGAGCTGCATGGGTGTCGTCTGTCCTGGAGGAGTCTGGCTGCAGGGCCGTGACTGGGATGACGTGAGTGGGCAACTGTGGTTGTCAGGGGATGCCTTAGTCCTCAAATGGGCTGCAGAAGGAAGACGGGCTCGGTGCCTTTCTTATACCTGCAGAGCCTCCCCATTTCCCACACTGATTGGAAAGTCCCACGGCAGGAGTGAAGGGTCACCAATCAGCTCCCTTTCTCTGAATCCCTTCCCCACCCTCACCCCCCACCCCTGCAGGCTCCTTCACCAGCTGCCTGTCCCCCTTCTGCTTGTCCCCCTTCCTAATCCACCCGAACTCACAGTGAACGACCTTCCTGCAAGATTGGAGGACTTGACCACCTCCATCACACTGACATGCAGACACGTGCAGTTTGCAGCAGAAGCAGCATTTGGTGAGGTGAAGTGGGAGAACCCTGAAACCAAATGAATTGGGGGGTGGTGAGTGGGAAGCTGGAGATTCAGGGTCCTAAGAAACGCCCCGTAACCCTGTCTTCTCCTCTGCTTCCAGTTCACCCCGCACTGTGGCCTTCACTTCTGGGTTCCATGTTGGTCCTAACCACGCTTTTGTTCTTTCTTCCTTTCCCATTTGCTTCCCTGGAGAATCAACTGAGTTTCTGAACCCCTGGTGATCACCAAGCCAAGTCCTAGGGCTCCATATTGAGAAAATGATCTCACTGTGTAGCCCCGGCTGGCCTGAAACTCAGAGATCCACCTGCCTCTGCTTCCTGAGTGCAGGGATTAAAGGAATGCACCACCATACTGGGCTTTCCTATCTTTGTAATTTTTTTTAATGCATTCAGTAGTGTTGGGAATTGAAACTGGAACCTCAAATGTACTAGACAAACATTTTATCAGCAATTCACATCCCTAGTCCCCACCGCACCCCACTTCTTAACAGTGTATCAAAAAGTCACCATGTGTGACCACTGTCAGGCCTAAGTTCTCTCTGCCAGCTAAAGATGGTGCTTAGAGCAGTGTGCTTCTAGGGTGACTCTGGTCTCACCTCTGTGATGGCTCGGGGTTAGGATACAAGTGAGAGTCTTATGAAGGAAAAGGAAGGATACAATACTTGGCCTCCCCTTTTCTCCTCTTCCCCTCCTCCTCTTCTTCTTCTTTGGCAGGGTCTCCTCTAGTCCTATCTGGCCTCAAACTTACTATGTAATCAAAGATGACCTTGATCTGAACCCTGTGCCCCCCATCCTGAGCTTGCTCAGATTACAAGTGTGTGCCACCAGATTCACCGTGGGCAGAGCTAACATTAGCGGTTTACTATGTGCACACAAACTAGTGTCTAGTACCTGTATTTTCTATTTAAAAGTATGAAAGTGACACATCCCTTGCCCAAAGTCACACAGATAGCAAGAGGCAAAAAGGGTAAGGATTCTGCCTCCACAGCTCTGCCCCTGCTCTCCTGGTCCACTGCTTCACAGCTTCATGAGTCCCTGGCAGGACGCTGACGTGCCACAAGAAAGACTGTCTTCTAGAATATGAACGTGAGAGTTCAGTTCACCTGGACTTCTTTCTGTGCCGGATGCCTCCATAAGAGCACTGATACAGGAGGTTGGGCGAGAGGATACCATGTTCGAGACCAGCCTGGCCTACATTGTGAGACGCCATCTTATTTTGAGACAAATTTGTGTGCATAAACATGACTTCATTTACTCAACAAATTAATAGTTTGTGATGGGGGCTCATGATGTAGCCCAGGCTTTTGAATTCATGTTCTCTTTGCCTCAGCCTCCCGAGTGCTGGGATTACAGGCCTGGGCACTGCACTGTCGTCCTGAGTAGCCGCTGGGTGCCAGGTACCTTCGAAGTACTGTGGAGACTGGCGAACAGATACAGTTCTGCCCTAGGTGAGTTCTCTTGAATTCTCAGAAATGATCTCCTCCAAGTTTGTGTGGGTCATGGCCCTGAAGCCTAAACTGTGGAATTTCGCAGAGACACTATGGGACAGTGGAGAGGAGCGTTGAGTGTGGGTGCCTGGCTCTGGACCCTTGCAGAGGTGACCCTGAGGAAGTGTTTTCTTTGCTTCAGTTTCCGGTCAGGAAGGACTTAGGAATACTGATAATATTGATCTCAGAGAACTCATATGCACCTAACAGAATGCTGCTAGGCTCCTGGGAAATATGCTCGGTGCTGGCCATCCGTGTCGCCACCTCTTCTTCCTTCCAGGGGACCAGGGAGCTCTTGCGAAGCTCATGCCGAGGCTGTGTGAGTCTATGTGAGCTGACTTCTTTACCGTTTCTCCATTTCATTCACTCGTTTATTTTTTTATTTTGGAACAAGTAAAAGCAACCATTTCCCAGCAGAAAGCCACAGGCTCTGTAGGCCTAATTCCGAGTGGAGAGGCCATCTGCCCCACTCCAGCTGTGGAGGCCCTGTCCCAAGGCTGGGACAGTTTGGGTTGTTTGGCAGTGAACCACCTGAGGGGAGGGATCTTGCTTTTCTCAAGGCCTCAGCTCTTCCCAAGACAGCAGGGAAGCTGTGGGACCTCCACCCCCACCCGGCTTCCCCACCTCCTGTCAGCCAACCCTTTTCCCTCCTCTCTCCCCGATGTTCTCCTCGTCCCCCCACCTCTTCACTCTGCATTCCCAGATCCTCACCTTCAGTGTCACCGGCTGGAATGGCCTTCAGGACCAGGCCGGTGGCCCGCAGAGAAGCAGTGACCTCCCGGGACCTGTGGCTGAGCAGGGCCTGGGGATGGGAATTGAAGAGCTGAAGAGGGGGTCCTGAGAATGTGCCCTTCCTGCACCTTTAGGTCTCACATCTCCCTGCCCAGAGAGGCTCCCTGGGGTGCTGATACCAAAACGGGCCTGTGGGAAGAGGCTTAGACACCCCTAGTCCCCAATGAGCCAATGGGTACCTCATAAGGAAGAAGTGTTTGAGCAAGAAACCAGCTTTCTTTCCTTTTCCTTTTTACCCCCTAGGTCTCACTGTGTAGCTCCAGCTGGCCTCAGGCTCACAGAACTCCGCTTGCTCTGTTTCTAGGCATTATGACATGCACCACCATGCCCATCCAACCCTCTAATTTTTTTTTAAAAACATTTATTTATTATGTATACAATATTCTGTCTGTGTGCATGTCTGCAGGCCAGAAGAGGGCACCAGACCTCTTTACGGATGGTTGTGAACCACCACATGGTTGCCGGGAATTGAACTCAGGACCTTTGGAAGAGCAGGCAGTGCTCTTAACCACTGAGCCATCTCTCCAGCCCAACCCTCTAATTTTTTAGAGCACATTGCCGCCTTGCCTGCGTGTGAGGTCAATTTCACCCTTACTCCATCCTTGCAGCATGCTCCGGAGTCTAAAAGAGTCCGAGGATAACGTCAAGAAAGGGCGTGTGTGGCTTCCTTTGGCTCTGTCTACAACCCCCATGTCCCAGAGGCTGGCTGGCTTTCACTAGCCATGCCAACTGTACCTGCTGGCTGTGCCAATGACACCGACCTTCTGGTAGCACACAGACAGTTCAGCTCCTGTGCCTTCAGCTGTCCCCTTCCTTCGGGGTGAAGATCCCTCTGAGGGGAGAAAAGAGGGTGTATAAGGTGACATTCCCTCCCCCATGTCGTTGAGGCTTAGCTGCTGAATAGACCTGGCAGCTGTCTCTGGGTGGAGAGGTGGCATCTTGGGGAGACTGCCTTTCAATCTGGGGGTGCTCTGAGGTAGAGAGGTAAGCGTGGCCCTAGCATTCAGCAGAGGCCCATGATACAGCAGGACGACCATAAGGGTGACATCTGGTGAGAGGCAAGAGAGTGAGTGTAGGGGAAGCTGAGCCAGGGTGAGCTCTGGGAAAGGGAACAGAAGCTCACCTTTGGGGGACTTGGAGTCCTGGATCTTCACCTTCAGCTCCGTGAGGAAAATGTCCTCTGTAGGGTCATGACTCAGATTGGTGAAGATCTAGAAGAGACAGGGAGGGAGGGAATGAGGAAATGAGGGGAGGAGGGAAGAAGGGGGCTTGGAGAAAGCCTGAGGTGTCCCACCCAACCGCCTGCCAGCGCTAGGATCTGAGCTACACAGAGGGATGGCCACATCAGTCTTGACCTCTTCAGCTATGTAAGCTAACAGATGCCCCCAGTCCTAAGCTGTTTTGAAAAGTTCTTGTCGCTTGCATCTGAGTCTCTTCCCGAAGTAAAAGAATGGAGAGGAAGAATCAGGAGGCTCTGATTCTGATCAAACCTGTTTACCACATACCGGTAAAAGCTACCATGGAAAACTAACCTTAGGACAGAAAAGGAAGAAACCACAGCCTCCACAAATGGCTCCTACCTATCGGCATCAACTGATAAGACGTGGGTCATTTGGGAAACTGAGGGAAGGACTTGAAAGCTAACATCTCTTCCATTGTTTAATGCGATCAAAGGAATGGAGCTTGAAAACACAGTAGGAAAGGAAACTGAGACCTGGAGAAAGCCTGATCTTTGAAGTTCAATGCTATGCACACCCTGAATGGGAACATGGACTGACAATTCATGGGTTCAGAATGTGGTTGTTTGGGTTTTAGGTGACCAAGGATAGATGATAGAGACAGAAGTTCTTGTCTGAGAAGGAAGGGCCAGGAGAAGGGCATCAGTCTGGTCAAGGGCCTAGATGGAGAGGTTCCTACTGAACTGGAGGAGGTCCTGGGGGAACAGGAGTGGGTGTGGTGTGTTCTGAGCATGGACAGGACATTCAGGGGACATAACAGTAGGAAAGTCACTCACTGAGGGAAAGGCTTGAGGAAAATGATGAAAAGGAAGGGTCCTCTAAGTGTCTTAGAGGAAGAGGAAACTGGACGGGGATCTCCATGGGCCAGGATGAAAGGGTGTGTGGTACTAGTGGGCTTGTGTTTTGCTAGGAAGAGAAAAGGGAAAAAGGGAAGCAAACAGAGTCGTTCAGATGCAGACAGAACTGACGAGCAGGAAAAGAAAAGAAGGAATAGGTATCAGAGGGGAGGCTGGAGCTGAGAAAATATAGGGATCTGAAGGTCTCCAAGCAACAGAAGAGAGGATGGTGGGAGAACAAACGAGAGTGCCTTGGGAACGTGTAACCAGAGGAAGGAAGACAGTTTAGAGCAGGCTACCCCCGACTCTCAACCTTCTGCTTGAATTGGAGGGCTTCGAAGTAAATAATGAGCAAAGATAAAGTTGTTAAGAGCAGCCAGGAACTGATTTGCAGCTGAGTGACCAGTATCTCCCCAGAGCCAGAGGATTTATGTAATGGTTAACAAGATCGTGTGGGCTGGCATAGTACCCTGGGAACCCCAGGGGAAAAACGTACCTTAACCTTGTAGAGCTGAAAATAGATGGGTTGGGTGCCCATGCGAACATAGTAAGTGATGACATCCAGGATAAAGGGGTCCACAGTCCGGGATGTGTCTAAGCAGGGAGGCTGTAAGGAGCAAGGCAGTGTCTTCAGCAGCCACTCACCTCCAGGCTGCTAGGGACACACCATTGTCTCAGTGAGAAACTCCAAAGCCCTCACGCTCCCTGTGATCTGGCCAAATCTGTCCAATCCTTCAGCATCCTCCAAGCCATCCTGGCCATCTGGTTTTTTGCTTCTAACCAAAATACAAATTACCTTTTTTTTTTTTTGTTTTGTTTTGTTTTTGTTTTTGAAGACAGGGTTTCTCTGTGTAGCTTTGGCTGTACTGGAACTTGCTCTGTAGACTACAGTGGCCTTGAACTCATAGAGATCCACCTGCCTCTGCCTCCCACGTGCTGGGATTAAAGGCATACGCCACCAGCATCTGGCTACAAACTACTTCTAATGAGACCACATCTCTGGTGAACTGGTTAATTTCAATTGCGCCGACTTACTGAGCCGTGAAGCGGTGTGCTAGCTGCTCGAGGATGTAAGTAATGAGGAAATTGCCTGGGTAGAAGTGGAGGTTTGAATTGGACACTCACTATCCAGAACCCTGGGCAAAAGTTATTCAGATTTTTTGAAGCCGGAGTAACCAAGTGTGATCGCATGTGCCTGTAATCCCTGCCCCTTAGGCGGCTGAGGAAAAAGAATGTTGAGTTAAACTACACAGTGAGGCTCTGTCGCAAAATGAGCCAACCAGCAATAGTCACCTGGTGCTGGGGATGGACTCAGCCCCTTATCTTCTGTGGCTGTCTTAGCCCTATGACAGCAATGTCAACGACCGTCAGACACAGAACAGAGCATCCGTACAGAATGGGATACAGGCTGAGTACCGCTTATCAGAAATGCTAGGGGCCAGAGGTGTTTCTAACTCCATTATTCTTTTCCCCTTCAAATTTTGGAATATTTATGTGTAGATGAGATACCTTGGCAACGGGGCTCAAGTGTAACCATGAAATTCCTTTTGTCTCATATGTACCTCATCCTCTAAACCCGAAGATAATTTCACACATTTTTAGTGTGCTTATGTTTTGACTACGACCTGTCACATGAGGACGGGTGTGGAATTTTCCACTTGTAGAATCATGATGGTGCTCAAAAATGTGTGTGTGTCAGAGCATTTCAAGTTTTGGATTTCCAGGTTAGGAATGCTCAAGCCATGACACAAGACTTGGCAAGAGGCTCAGATTTGTCTTAAGCATTCCTTATCTAACCCCGAATCCCTTCTGACTCTCACACCTGCTTCACTGAAATAGTCCTTCAAAAAAAAACATGCTTGGTCAGATGTGGTGGTGCACACCTCTGATCCCATTGCTCAGGAGGCAGAGGTAGGTGGATTTCTATGAGTTCAAGGCTAGCCTAGTCTATATAATAAGTTCCAGGCCAGTCAGGACTACACAATGAAACCCTGTCTCAACGCTCCCCATCCCCCAGTTATGCTGATAATACATCCTGATAATACATCATTGCTTCACAGTGTCTTCAGGTCCTTCACATGGGAACTGCTTTTGGAAAGGCCATACAACTAACTATAAGAGGAGTAGAAAGAGAAAGCAAATCTTTCATGTGTCCTGGTTGGAAGAAAAACTACCAGCAGAAGAGAAGAGCCAAGGCCTCCAGAGAACTGTCTCCCATAATCTTCTCTGGCTTTCAAGGGGGAAAGCATTTTAATACCCCACTAAACAGTTTTTTGTGTATGTGCAAAAACATCTCCAGGTACCCACATCCAGACATCTTTGTGTGCATAAAACATGTAAGACGAAGCCCCCAATCAGACAGGCAAGAAACACAGTAGAGACCTTAATTCAGTGACCTGTCGAAAGGCAGATGTGTACTTTTTATGAAATGTTTTCAAATGTTATCTTTTAAGAAATAGAATAAGCCAGGTGGTCGTGGCATACACCTTTAATCCCAGCACTTGGGAGGCAGAGGCAGGCAGTGCTCTGTGAGTTGGAGGCCAGCCTGGTCTATGAAGTGAGTTCCAGGACAGCTAGAACTGTTACACAGAGAAACCCCATCTTGGAAAACAAAAATAAAACAACAACAACAAAAAAGGAAAACAAAACAAACAAAAAATAAATAGAATGAGTAGCTTGATAACATATATAAACCAGCAGTTTCTTGTTATATTGGCAATACATTCCTTCCCACTGGGACGAGAGAAAGACACTCACCATGACAGGAAGCGCACTACATGATGTGAGGAATGAGCTGAGTGAGAAATGGGGAGAAGGATATAAGAAAGAAAGATTGTTCAGTCCCTAGAAGAAAGCACTTAGGAAATTACATTGTGCCCTCAGAGAGGGACACTTAGTATGTGAAAGGGGCTGATTCTTTCTCTTTAATCAAAATGCCAATAGATTTTTTTTTAAAAAAAAAAATTGGGTCTGGTGAGATGGCTCAGTGGTTAAGTGCACTTGCTGCTTTTTTTGGAGGACCAGAGTTAGGTTCACAGCATCTGTGTGACGCTCACAACTGTCTGTAGCTCTAACTCCAGGAGCTCTGTGCCTTCTTCTGGCCTCCACAGGCACCTGCGCACATGTGCATTCATGCGTACACAAAATAAAATAAAAATAAGCTGGGCAGTGGTGGCGCACGCCTTTAATCCCAGCACTTGGGAGTCAGAGGCAGGCGGATCTCTGTGAGTTTGAGGCCAGCCTGGTCTACAAAAGCTAGTTCCAGAAGAGGCTCCAAAGCTACAGAGAAACCCTGTGTCGAAAAAGCAAAAACAAAATAAAACAAACAAACAAACAAAAAACCATGCGAATTCTAAAGTTTATCAGGAAAGATAAGCCAGCATATCCTGAAAAGTTCTGTAATAGAGAAATAATGCTGTAGGCTTACCCTTCCAGATATCAAAATAGAATCATATTAATTTGTACATGCATAAATCCATGAAAGCATGGATCCCATGTTCCCAGAAATAGCATCACACAGATGTAAGAGTTCAGTCGGGGACACCAGCAGAATATCAGATGGATGAGGCAGGATGGTTTATATAACTAACAACTTTGGTAGAGTCTGCTAAGTATTTGGGAAAAACAAGATTACATACACACTTCAGATAAAAGGCTAAAATTATTTGTGTGTGGGCTCATTATTCAGTTATAAAAATCCAGACTTTAACAGTGTTTGAGTCCTGTGATCCCAGGCTGTAAGAGGCCAGAGGCCCAGGGCTGGTGAGATGGCCCAGGGGCAAAGTGTATTGTACACTCCTGGAGTCCCAAATTCAATCCCCAGAAGCCATGTAAAGCAACAAAGTTGTCCTCTGACCTCCACAAGAGTGCTGTGGTATGCATGTCCCTCAAACACACAGACAAAGAGAAAGAGGAGGAGGAGGAGGAGGAGGAGGAGGAGGAGGAGGAGGAGGAGGAGGAGGAGGAGGAGGAGGAGGAGACTTTCAAAGGCAGAGGTCACAAGGGATAAAAGTTCTACAATTAACAACAGAAAATGGTAAACTCTAAGTAAAAAACCCAATGGAAAACCGACAAAATGTAAAAACCAATACCCTACACAGCATTTACGGCAGTGAGCTGGTTTACATGTGAACAGCGACAGGCTCTCAAGGCAGTCATGTGTCCCCTCTCTAGCCTGCCCCTGTCAGTCATGGTTAGGGACGGCAGATGCAGTCTGCAGTCAGATCCCCCGGTTCCCAGGGTAGGGCTGGGGCATCGTAGTTTACTTTCCTGCTTTGGGCAAGTTAGCTAATCTGTTTCTGCCTCAGTTACCTGGCCTGTAAAATGGAGCTATGCCACGGTATGGTGACAATGGCACTTGGAGACATGCGTCCCCATCTTCGGTGAGAACTAAAGGAACAAATCCTGCGGGTTGATTCTGAGATCCGGGGTTGCGTGCGGTATGTAACTGGGGTTTCCTCCTGACTCCACCTCCCTCTTCATCGGAGATTTTTAAAAATTTCCCACCTTCATGCCCCTCACACTCCTCCTGCCCTCTCCCTTTCCCCCC